TGCACTTAAAGAAAATTGGTTGGTTAAATAAGTAATACGGGGGCGGTAAGAGGTTAATGTTAGGACTTGTGCTTTCCTAAAGATGATCAAAAATCACTCAAATTTTGTAGATATTCCATTATTGCACCAGTAGCCATTAGTAAGCAGTGAAATGAGCAATAAATAACATTAAGAAGAAATACAAAAACAAAAGAACATGGCTAGACCTAAGGCTAAAATATGAAGTTTCCCAAATGAATTTTATCTTATATTTTCAAAGGTAAAGGTAAGAACAAAACAATCGAATAAAATAAGCAGTGATTATACCCACTTAATACAAGGATAATCATAATGGTATTGAAGCCCCTAAATAAAAATTAGAAATTTACACCACAAACGCTATTCCGTTTGTATGTACGGCTGACTAGAAGGAAACAAAGTCATGATTTGCTTTCATAACATACTTTGTGTTCCCCAAAGTAATTGTGTTTAACTGCGAGTCTCAACAATTTGCTTGTTTTAAATTAAGTCTCGTAAATCTACTGTCATAATGTTAGTTAGAAATCATAATAAATTAAATGGTGTCTTTATTTCTTTGCGCAGTGCAGCGCGGGACGATAATTAAGAAAGTGAAAGCTAAGCCCCGGAAAAAATCTTTTGAAGCAAAAAGCACAAAAGCGCCGTGCGTAAATAATCATAGAAACTATCTCTGGTCTATTGATTTTCTCGTATTTAGCTTCCGAATCAGCAAGAGTAGCTGAGTAATATTCCTTCAGATTCTTGATGATATAACTGATGCTTCGCCAGCCCTCAAAGTTCGAATTGGCAGTTGCTACAGAAACCACATTTGGAGTGATTTTATATAATCTCTCATAATTTCTCAAAGTTCTAAAAGGAAGTGGAGGTTTCACCACAACACATTCTTCATTAGAACACAGAGTGTCGTAGTTCATCCGACGTTGCTTTTGATTAGTTTGTTGTTGTTAAGGAAAAAAATATTCATGAACAGCACTCTTGTGGATGGCTTGGATGTATTTTTCAAGCGAAAATGATGCGAGTTGTGGAGGAGCATTCTGTAAAATTAGCGGTTAAGCGAATATCGTTAGATGTTATGGTTGCTCACAAAAAAAGATTGATTACGTTTATTTATGGATATTTGAGTAGTTAAAAGATAGGAGAACAAACTACATGTGAAAGTGAATTGTAATACTGACAATGATCATTTGAGAAAAATTTAAGCATTTTTGTTGTGATCATAATAAATTTTGTTATTTTTCATGGACTTGTGATTCATTTCTTCAAAACGAGCCGTACGCAAGCAACAATTTTTGTTCCGAACCACAACCGTCTATTGCTGGTGAGTCAGATAGGAAGGTTTAGCAGGATCATGGGACACAGAAGTGGGATTTGATGCCTCCCCGCTAATAAACTTGAGGATATGTAATCGTAACAAAGATCACTCTCGGGGATGGCTCAAGAACAATCGTGTGAAATAATACGTGAAAAATAAAGTTGCATTCAAATAATATGTACAAATGCATAAGTCACAAATATTTTGTCTTTTACGTGCTATAGCTTAAAGATAGATACAAAGAAAGCTTCTACGATCTGAAACATTTGTCCACAATATATACCATGAACTGCGAATAAGTAAAATTTCATTATTATAATTTAAATCGGTTCTAGATGATCAATGTACAACAAATGCTTGTCAATATGCAATGGAGTGCTGTACAAGGCACAATTAAATATAAACAAACATTACTGCGGAGATATAAAAACAAAGCGTATCTACACGGTCGAAAGAGCCAAAATTTGAACGGACCGTTGTATTTAAAAAATACTTTAGCTATTTTCTTTTTACATATTGTGAAGTATATTAGATGCAAGGAAGGCATCGTAAAGAAATATAGTCTTGTCACCCTTTATCCTGAAATGTTCACCCCAGAGACCTTCAAAGACAAAACTTGCCCTGTGCATTGAAGTGATATTTAATTTTTCAAGAAAACAGGTTTTAAATTTTTAAACATCTCTCTCCATAACTGAAGACTGCTGTTTGTGAAATCCGAAACACATATAGAGAATCTTACTACACATATGGAAGATCGTGAAATTATGAAAAAAGTAAAAATGAGTTGTGTTTTCCGAAATTTGGGCATATAGTGAGACAGAAAGAAAGGGAGCTGTCTTTTTTTCATCTGGCAGGGGTAGAATATAAAAATTTGTAGTACTGCTTATTTCATCTAATCTGGATCAGGAATCATGTTTGTAACAGCTCTCAAGGTCTCGAAGACGTAAATAATAACGTTTATATAATATATTACAAAGATAGTTTTATAAAGATTCGTAGTATGCTCACAGTTTTAGTTGAAAATAACAGTGCTTTTCTTCAGGCTACGAGCCTAAGTGTGAATCAGTAAGAATTTCTCTCAGTCAATATGGAAGATTTTAGAAAACGAAGTGTGGCCAGCCAGATGTGAATAATTAAAAAGTGTAACCCAGTCCATTAATCGGTTATACAAGGCAAGAATGGTTTGAGGTATTGTGTCTACTTCGTTTAGACTTGGAGAGCAAGCCCAATAGGGGGTTGCTTAGTCAGTTCAAAAACGTCTTCTTGAAGCCCTCTGCAAATTTAGGTAAAAACGATTTCTTTGTTGTAAATTAGACTGCTTGTGAAGTTTCCAGCCTCCACTCTTCACTCGAATTAAGACAGATACTTGTGAATTAAGTCAGTTCTACCCTTTCAGTTGTCCTTTTGCCGAAGGTGTGGGATGTACGCAAAGTAAACCTCTCTCTTTCGAGTTTGTCCTGTCCAAGAAAACAGTATCTTGATCTTCTTTGACCGACATTGTCTTGTTGGGCATTTAATTGTAAAATGGTGGGGCAAAGGGAATAACTGTTTTTCACTGGATGGTACGATTGTGGCCTGTGAATTCACTGGGGCGGTGTATCGTAATTTTACCAGTACTTCTGATTATCATCCGATATGCAATGACTTTGGGCCACAGTCTCGCTCTGGGTCTTTTTAAATGTAGTACAAGAAAAAAATGTAGTATGTCGCTGCATCTCAAGCTTTGTCCTAGTGCCAATTCTTTTCTCTCCCGGTTCTAAATTCTAAGTGTAATCAGTCACCACAAGTCTCAAATTTTGGCATCGTTTGCAGGGATGTAACAAGCACCAGAAACCGGTTTCGTAATGCTATTCGTGCTATCTGAAGTTTCTAAAGATCGTTTAAAAACTGCAATCAGCCATCCAAGCTGCTAGTTATTAGTGAAGTAGTCATTCTTCAAAGCCTTCGCCATTGTTCCATCAAAGACACTAGTCACCATAAAAGAAGTTCTATAACAATTTGTACAGTTTTCTGCGTTATAGTAACGTAAATACATTAAGTCAATATGAAACCATGAACTTTATAACAGGCCCAACCTATCCATGACTTGATACCTACAAATATTAAATGTAATATCTCTTGTCAAATGAAATAAATTAACCAACGAGTCCCTTTGCAAAATCTTAAGAAAATGGGTAAGTAAGAAGAGAGGTGGTTAAGAACTTTGTTACGTCTAAAAGAAAAGTATCCCTACAGAAAGTTTTCAAATCTTAAAAAAAGTCGGTGAATGCTACAACAGCATACTTTATCACTCAAATCAGGCAGGTATGGAAAAAAGCATTATATATAGTAATAAATAACATTTACATTATTGAGTAACATAAAAGAATACAAAAAAACAAAGAAAACTTTCTGAAAAGTGTGAAAAGTTATTAATTAATGCGTATTTTATCTATGATATAGAGTTATTCGAAAGCAGAAACACGAGGTCTGTCTAGGATGAGGGCCCAGACGCAGGAGAAAAAAACATCCAGAGTACAACAGCAATAAAAATGTCAAGGCTATATCCCTTAATACAAATATTAATTATCTGCCTAAATAAAAAACACTTTTACGGATACATAAGCCCTTGCAGTCTTGAAGAAAACAAAAAAAAAAAAAAAAGTCAGCAGAAGTCTTCAAAAACTTATCAATATGTGTTTTTACCGATAGATTTGCGACGGCGTATTAAAAGGCTAGGATGTTAGCTTCAGCAATTTATGATCTATTAGTTTTCGTAGGTTGGTTTGCACTTTTATTTCTCGCGACTGAGTAGGTTGTGCAGTTATGTGCATACAAGACCGAGTTTTTCTTAGGAACCTCAATAGCTTGGTCGAACTGCAACTCACTATTGTAGAACCATAAGTAACTTTGAGTGCTTTGACCGCTATAATGTCAAAGCATAATAAACCCCAAAGGCCAGCACCTATCAAATTAAATAGGAATACAGAAAAGACGCGTGTCAGTGTGCCAGGGAAAGTAAAAAGTCCAAAAGTGCTCTTTTGTGACGATTCAGGATGAAATTTCGAATCATAGATTCAGTAGCGTCATTTTAGTTTTCATGCATATTGATTGGATAAGTTAATAAATTTGTAAATTAATGTTGAGCTGGTTTGGAAAATTCTGATGTTAGTTTCATTGAGCCACGCATCACTAGTGTTTGTTACATAAGGAATCATATGACGTAGGATGCTTATTTAAAATCTTCTAAAAAAGGAGTCTTGAAGAATGACACAGTGGAAGAGAGAAAAGGAAAAGACATTCTCACTAAGTCTCGGTTTTTTTAGAATTAGTGAGAGAGTCAGAGTTGCTTGCCCTTAGTTTGGTTGTAACCATGTATTTAAGAGAAAAACATGGTTCTTTGCTACTTGTTGTTAAATGTAGCGGGGTTGATATAATTCTTATAGAGTAGTGAAATTACATATATCTACACACACACACCACTTAGTAATCTAGAGTTCTTTAGCTGTTGATTGGAAATTAGAGAAATTATGCGTTGTGTATATTTAATCTTTTTATTGAATGTTATAGTCCTCATAGAGTGGATATTTGTAGCTTTTAGTTGTAAACAAGTGAGTAATTCTGTATCTGTCGAAGAATTGTGGTAATAGCGACCCAGGGATAATTTGAAGAAAATTTAAGCATTTTGTGTGATAACAGTGTAGTAGTATCCTTCTCTCAGTTGTAAGTTAAAATTTTAATTTTTTAAAACTTGTCTAAAATTCATTATTTTATTTTATTGTTTTTGCGATAATAATAAATTTTTGTTACATTTTGTCATTCGGACACTTTTAGTAAGTACAAATTTTCATTACCTAACGAACGTCCACAAGTACGCCAGGGCGACCAAACAATATATTATACTAAATTTTAAGTAAGTTAAAATTTGATTGGAGTTGAAAAAATATAACACTAATTTTATGCAGTTTTCACCTTTCAAAACAAAGAATTCTATCCCTTTTCACAAACTGTTCAAGGATATTACCTTGTAAAAATGTAATTTTTTACAACTTTTTTTTAATAGTTTTGCAACATTCCTTATTAAATTTACTTTTTGAAGAATTATTTTGTTATATTTCTTAATAAAATTTCTAAGTATGAGGATATGTGTCCTAGGAAGAAATTGGAAAGATACGAGGGCTATCCAGAAAGTAGATTACCTGATTTTGCTGCTTTTCCAAGCAGAAAGGCTATCCTGAGGGAAAGTAGATTACGTTTTGGAAATTAAAAAAGCATAAAGCAGAAAGTATAGGAGAACAAACCAAATACTTTAATGATTCTTGTTTACCGTAAAGAAGAAGAAAGCCACAACTCAAATGGACTTAACTTTTAGTGGTCTACAAGGTCACCGGCCCTATGCATAAGGTGAAGTTGTTTAAACGAGGGGGCCTCCGGTTGTTACGGTGTTTATAGAAAGGTACGGAGGCAGGAAGCGGTGGCAGATAATGAGATGACGTGGGAGGAGCTTGAGTAAATAATAATCCGCGTTAGAGGGGTGCGGGTCAATGAAAAGAGATTCTGAAAAATCGTGGTCAAGGACGTTAAACAAGTAAATAAAAGACAAGTCGCCTTGAACCGACGGTGACCAATCCACCCGACGACATTCGAGTATGGTACAAGCGAGGCTCTGGTCATAAAAATTAGTGCACAGTAGACACCGGGGAAAAGCAAAAGCTGTTAGCCCGGAGAATAGAGTGCAAAGGCGTAAAATAAGATACAAAGGAAGACGAAACAACGTCGTGCAAGTGGAGTAGCGAACAGGCCGGAACCTTGGCTTGTCCTTGGCTACGGGGAAGGGGAATACGGCGTGGAAAGTCGACGTACCTGAAGGGAAAGCAGAAAGGCCAGAAAAACGACGCGGAAGCGCAAACGAGATTGTAAGCACCAAACGGGTACAAAGGAGGACTGTAACGGGCGGCACTAAATAGATCGCTGGCAGAATGGAAGAACAACTACCCAACTATGAAAAGGAAAATATCATGAACTAGAAATGAAGGGATTAACATCTATTATACGAAGATATGGATAAAAATCGTGTAGCCAAGGTCGTGCATGGTAGGAGGAAGAACACAGGAAGAGAACAAGAGAGAAGAGACAGCATAAGGTAACAGAGTAGAGAGAGAGATACAAAGAGAACAAGAGAGAAAAAGGGGGAAAACCATCGGAAGGAGAGGAAGGCAAATCCTGGGGGTTGTGGATATGACGCCGAAGAATGACAAAACTCGCAAGATATGTTAGAGGAGAGCAACAAGGACGGATAACAGAATACTGCTCCCATAAGGAAGAAGCAAACGCTGAAATGGACGAGCATAACAGCGAGTCTTAGAGGTGAGACCTTACAAATCAGTATACCCGTCTGCGCACTGCTTTAAAATATGTGAAGGGGGAATGTGCGTACTTCTGAGGCTCAAAAGGTGATTGGGAGGAGAACACGGGGAGAATGGATAGAGTGGGGAAGGGTGGAGAGAAGCAATGTTACCGGACCGTGGTGGGCCGGTAAAGGTTGTTGGGAAGGTGAAAACCAGGAGGGGGTGTGGTTGAGCACGTGACGCGTGGTGGCCGAGAGGGGAAATAGGGAGAGAAGTCACGACCGCAGGCGAAGGGGGAGAAGTGCTGAAAACTTACACGCCGCGGTTGTAGGCTGGCCCAGGAAGGAAAGGGAGCGATAAACCGGGGAGGTCGGCAGGAAGAAATACACTCAGAGACTGGCGGCCGCAATCGGAACCGCACTTGACACGGCACATAGACCTGTGAGCACCCAGTCCGAAACACTGTGATGCCGCTTGGCAGCCTGGGCGACTTTCTTGGGAGGAGTTGTGTATTAGGGCGAGATAGATGGGTAAGGTCGCGAAGAAGGCAACTAAAGAGAAAGGAAGGAGGACTTGTGACGAAAGAATCAAACGTGTTGGTTAGAACTGCAGGCACAAAAGGAGACACGGTGGCCAAGTATACACGGAGAAAGAGTTGCCACACCATAAGAACGAACACACAAAGAAGGAAACTGTATCAGAAAGATTGTTTCATGAGTGTGGTAGAAAGGGAAGTAAGACACAGGTTCAAGAACATGAAGTTGCTGGTCAAACCAATGAATCGAAGGGGTCCAGAGCCAAGCCGGTTCGGAGACCTGGCAATAACCACGATGGGCGCGAGAAAAAAAAAACAGAGTCTATCACGGTGGCGGGCGCACACTACGAAGAACAAAAACTGAAACACACCAGAAAAAAGAGAGTGCGAAACGGGTAAGGATAGAGAAAGTCACCATCCTATCAATGGGGCACAAGCAGCGTTCCCCGAGAGAAGAGTGAGTGTTCAACGACTTACTGCAAGCCATTGTACGCGCTGATTTTTGTGGTCCTCTGTCAAGATTTTGCGAATCCATCGTTGCCAAAGCGTAAAGGTGAATACAAGTTATGTGAGAACCAGAGCTAGATATTCGGTATGCAAGTGACTAATTTGACGTTGACAAAAGATATAGAGCGCATAGACTAGCGAACAAACGACTTGTCAGCATGCATAGCCGAATTGACCCAAAGGTGTTGTGTGTCAGGCTGAGGAAGAAACTCACAAAAATGAGTAAACATAACGTTCCACTAGATATGTAGAGTATGGATGGAATAATTTAGCGGCTGTTTTCAGGAAGATCTGTTAAAGAAGATCAGCACCTTTATTCCCCTGAAGGGAAGCAACCCTCGTGGCAGTTCGGCTGGGTAGCGCACTTAATTAGCTGGAGTCCCAAACCTATCAGGTTCTCTATCTCGGTTCGCGGATGGTGAACAATTGTTCTGCCCATCAATGCAGTTGTTGCATAGTCTGGTATGACCCACTGACGCACTCCAACTTCAGTGGGGATATGTGTTCCCATACACTTCATCCGACACCAAGGCTGCACGATAGATTCTAATACGGGTTTTACATCTTTTTGCAGTCAGAAACCTTACTTACTTGCGCATCTCGCGGCGCACCTTACCCACTCGCAGCTCGCGGGCGTCCCACATGAGGAGACTTTTTCAAGTTAACAGCAGACGATTTCTCAAAACCGTCGCGACCGGATAAGTTTCATGCAGACGCTTCCAGAAGTATATAAGAACACGCAGAGCAGAACCGGCATCTGAAGACCTCTCACTTAGCACGGCTAGCTGCAGACTTCCTGAGCTGACAGCACTCCGCTCTTGACCCCAAGTGATCGGCCAGCGCGCGCATTCGCCCTCGCGACTGCCTCAGCTTTGCGCGGACACAGACGGAAACGTTAATTCACATTCCTGGATGGGCCCTCGACTTAATTTGGCTTTCTTTTTTTATATTTTGAGATATGTTTAATGAATAAAGAGTTTTGATTTCAGAAGTTCAAAATAATCCGAAAGTTTGTTAATCATTAGTTTATATAGGTTGTAAAAAAATGAGACTTACTAGCGTAGGCTCCGCAATTTGCATTTTAAAATAAGGTATTCATCTGCTAGTCAAATCTATTTTGTAAAACTGATTTTTCTGAAGCTCACGAAGTTGACGCTTGGTCTTAGGATTGAATTTTCCAGTGTAGCTATCGCTATAGCTTAAAAGTTTTTTTTTTTTTAACTCGGAATGTTTGATATTTACCTGATAAAGGCTAGGCAAGTAATCTGTTCTTTGCACTTGATCAACGCCCCTCTTTCAGGCGAAAGTGCCCGGGCAGAAAGCTCAATACACTGCATTTCTTTTTGAAATGGTTCTTTAGAATTTTATTAGAAAATCCAAAGGACTGTCCCTGTGTAACGGTGTGTTTTTCTTTCTTGGATTTTCTGATCCTGGATTGTTATTAGGCTATTGCCTATGGTTGATTAGCGATTTATTCTTCTGTATCTCTCTATAACTTTTACAATAAATAGAATTTCCAGCAACTGGTAGACGCATGGCAAGCAGGTGATATACGTTTTTTTTTTATTAGATAGTGTATCTTGTTAAAAATAAGCTGCTTCTATGAAGGAGAAGATGGAATGAAGACAGGGAGGGTGTGGAATCTTAATGTTGAAAGGGATGAGATGGCTAATATCCGAGATGCACTAAGTACAAATCTGACTAGCAACTCCACCCCGAAATAATGCCATTCCTGTTATTTAATGATTTTTGATTAGTTAGATGACCGTTACTTACAATCCAGTCAGAGATTACTCCTGCATCCTAAATTTTGTTGTCCAGGAGCGTTTATATAATTCCTTACCAAAGCATAGTTTTCAAATATTTACAAACTCTAATTCAGAAGTCAAACAAAAATCAGCGTTATATTTCAAAATTTCACAGGACTAGTTTCGATGGTTTACCGAACCACCATCTTCAGCTGCAAAACGCAATGATTGTAATTTGCGGTTTGCAGCTGAAGCTGGTGGTTTGGTAAAACCATCGAAACTAGTCCTGTGAAAATTTTGTAAATATAACGCTGGTTTTTGTTGTTTGACTTCTGAATTAGTATTTATTCAGCGTGTTATTGTGTCTTAATTTAAAAACTCTTTCTGATATTTATAATGCTTATAATTTATGAGCTGTAAAATGCCCTAGAGTAACTAGGTCTATAACTTTTTTAAAAATTTTAATCTGTATTATGAGAGGAAATATTAATCTGTTATCCTCTTTGTCACTTTGAGATTTATTACTTAGTATAAAAATAATGTAGAAATTCAAATATACAGACTAATTGTGACCATAATCTTTCTGGATATTCGTGAAATTCAGATGCCTTTTGGGGGTCGAGTTGTAAAGTCACTGAACACTGGCAGTTCTATCCCGGGTTTGAACTCGGACAAGTGGCTGCATGGTTAGTTTTCATGTTTTGTCCATGTGTAATGTGAATACGAGCCAGTTTTCCTTGGAACGTCCTCTATAAAAGTATCCATCCCTTTAAGCAAATAGCTCTTTAGTACTTTGCCATAGTAAAAAATGAACCAAACCAGGTGTATAATGGATACAAGCTAGTTTTCCTTAAAAACATCTGTAGGCAGATAGCCCTCAAGTGAGCACTATGTACTTTGCCTTAATCAGTTAACCTAATTGGAGAATTCAATGTTGTCTTTTTCCTTGATTGTTGAATATGTATTTGCTGTAATGCAAGTGAAGTAATTTATTTCTTATATTTTATTTAAAAAAGATTTCGTAGTTAAACGAATAAATAATTTTATTTCTATGCAATAAAATTCAAAACACCCATTTTTCTATAAAAATAGTTTTTTTAAAGCCTAAATAGTTAACCCATTGATGTTTCAATTAAAATTAAATGGTAAAATTAATTTTTATGTACTTAAGCTTCAAAATTAAACAAAAATCATGTTTCTTTTTCCTTTTTTTTTTGTCTTTTTTCCTTTTTTAAATGAAAGAAATTATTTGTTAATTTAGGTGAAGCAAAATGCATAATTTATTTCTATTCAACTAAAATTTAGATGGACTTTTTTAATTATAATAAATTAATAAAAAGTAACTGACAGTATAACACGCATTAAATTTATTTGTTTACATTTTGTACTAAATTTATGATTTCAATAAATAAAATCATTTAAATCGATGAAAAAATGTTAAAAAATTAATTAACAACAATATTAACTTTATTTTGGAATGAAAAGAGTATGGATAATTAAAGTTTCAGTAATGATGGAATTCTGCTGTGTTGTAGGTTGTATATTTTGTGGACAGTCTCTGGGGCTATCTTCTGTGTCTGTGTATTAGTAGTTTCTGAACTTAGGGTTAGGTGTATTTTTCTGTGTATTTCAGTATTTTACTTTTTTTTTTTTTAGTTGCACAATGGAATTCGGACTACAAGAACAAACCAATGGATACAATATTCATCCGAGAAGTAAAAGAAGGTAGCCCCGCACACAATGCTGGGTTGAACAAAGGTGACAGAATAATTGCAATCAACAATCACCCTTTGACAGGGAAATCATATGCAGATATTATTCATCTTATACTCAAGAGGTAGTGTATTTTTGAATTAAAAAATATAGTTGTGATATTCACCATGGATTGATTCAAAAGTTGAAATCAAATAAAAGTTTAAAAAATATTTTAAAAAGTAATTTTTTATGGTTAATCTTCTCACATTTGAGTAATTTATTATTAAAATCGTGATTTCAGGTCTGAATATTTTAACCCTCTGAGCGTTATGACAGGGTTTATTCGGTCATCAGAAGTTTTGCTACTTGGCATATATTAGCTTATAATTTAAGATATTTTGCTTTCTTACTTTCTTTAATAATGTAAATATCATTTTAATGAATGCAAGTTTATGAAAATACAGACTAAAATAAGTAATTATACAAACTAAATTAATAAAATAAATGCTGTTTAAATACTGGTCTTCATGATGGATCTAAAATCCTGTGCCACTCAAAGTGTTAATATGTCTTACGTTTTTTTTTTTTTTTTTTTTACTTTTAGTAAAATTTTTATTTTTCTTCAAAAAATTTTTTTGTATTTTGGAAGTGAAACACAAATTTTGTCTCCTAACACAATCAGAAATATTACATTATGTTCAAGAAATCTAAGAGTTAATTGATGAATTCTCATATATTAGGTAAAAGTTTGGAAAAAAGGTTTTAAAAAATTCACCAATTATTTTATATTTCTGATTTATTTTGCTTCAGCATATTGTGTTCAGCCTTTCTGAATTTGATCTTGCTGTTGCGTTCATCCAAGTTAATGCATTACTTTTTTAATGAAGTATTTTTGGTACTTTTCCAATAAAGCCATATCATGTATGTTCAATGCGATATTGCTATGTTTTGGCTCATTTCTTTCTCCATCCTTTTGGATTGATACTAGACAAAAACTAAATATTTGAGAATAGCAACAAAAAACATCCTCCAATTTTATAACAAAATCCTCCAAAAACCTATTTTGTGGGAAGAATATAGCCTATATTATTTTAATTTAAATTTTGTTAATAAATTTTTCTTTTGGTCAATAAATTGTTATCAATTTTCATAATTTTGTTTTGTTTATTCAGAATGTCAGGATCAATGTCAGGATGAAGTAATGAAAAGTTGACATACACCTCCCCTTATGTAATCAGGTCAATCTGTATTGTGATTCATTTGAAGCAATCTTTAGTTTGTAAAACTCGATACATGGTGAGAGTGTATCTTCTGATACCTTTAGTAAATGAATCATTGCAGTAATGAAAGGAATGCATCGTGTAACAAACCATGTTTGTATTTAGACACCTTTTGCTACCTGGCATGAGCAAAGGCTGCATTACCCTTTGGTTCATACCATATTTTAATTTCATGATGTAATTCTTTGGATAGAACTTTTCTTAGTGAATAACATCTCTTTCTTGAAGAAACAGGATAGCCATTTCTTCATTTTTTGGGGAAAGCCAAGTCATGAAATACATTGCATTTGAGAGGCCAGAGGGGGGGAGTCATGATTAGATTGAAAACATGATCATGTGAGTGATGGTGTCAAAGGCAGTTATCATGAGAAAAGAAGCCCATCCAAATTGGTGTCGCAAAAGGATGGTTTACGTCTAATTGAAGCCAAATACTTCAACAATCTACAAAAATAATCATTTTATTTACAAAGCAAATGTAATTGCATCGATGGTTCACTACTAACTACATCGCAAACTGAACTAACATTCCTTTTTCAGAAGAGAAGCGCCCTCTGGTGGCGATACAGAAATAATTTGTTGGGGTTTTTCCACACTCCCCAAAAATTATCACTATTTCAACATACAAAATAATTAAAATGTAAGAAAACAACTTACATATCAAGTACATTTACCTGATGTAAATATAAACAACAAAAGGAAATTCTATAAAATAAACAAATACAGTTAACAGCATACAATTCAAATATTACTCAATAAGTAAATATTAATTCGAATAACAAATAGTAAATTATTAGTAATAACTAAACTAATTATCTAAAATTAATGTTAGTGAGCATGAAATACAAGAAATAAAATTAAAAGTTACGAAATTAGTCCATTTTCAGTCAGATAGTTCAAGGGGGTACATACAGGTCTCTTAAAGTGCCCCTTTTTTAGTTTTTACCACACAAGATCGTACAAGACCATCACTTCCTTTAAAACTTTGAATTACTCAACCTAAATCCCAGAGGAACTTAGATTTAGTTGTTCCTTCAAGTAAAACTATATCATCAATTTTAAGATTTTCCTTGGCTTCTGGTGTACCGAAGAAGTGAGTATTTCTTAACTCAAGAAGATACTGATTTTTCCACTTTTTCCAGAACTGTTTTATAAGTGTTATCTGATATTCTTTTCCTTTTATTAGACTGTTTCTTGTTGGAGAGCTATTCAGGATCTCAGCACAGTTGTATGGATGGATATTCATCCTTATGTCCGATCAATAGAAAATCAGCCGGCACAAGCGGTTCAGGTTCATGTAAATTGCTGTAAACGTAGGTCAAAGGACGTCTATTCACAATATTTTCGACTTCTGTCAGCACAGTCATAAATTTCTTCAAAATTCCAGTTGAGCTTTACTGCTAATATCTTTTTCAAACGGTTCCTTAATGGTTTTCATAAGGCGTTCATAAAAAGCTCCCCACCATGGAGCAAGCTCGACGATAAATTTCCAAGTCAAAAGCCTTCATTTGCTAGAAAATTTTGAAAATTCTGCTACCTTTAATTATGCTGTAAAAATACTGTAAATCTTTGGCAGCATATTTGAAAGTTTTCGCGTTATCTGAATAGAAGGTGCGACAGTTTCCTCTTCTCGAAATGAAACGTCTGAGAGCCAAAATGAATTTGTTTGCAGACATATTGGAATGAGCTCTAGATGTAACGCCCGTGTAACAGCGCACGTAAACAATACGATGTATGATTTCTGAATGCCATTTACAGACTTGATGTAAAACTGGACCCTGTGAAATCCACATTTGTAACATAGAAAGGTGGAGTTTTAACAATTCGGTCTTTAGGTAACTGAGCTGTCATTTGTTTCGCTGACGTAATTACTGCGTATTTTCCGACAAATTAAACAGTTTCCTAAGACTTTCTTCTACACCAACTGGCGGGCCTTTAGGAATCCAAAATTTCTGTCGTAATTTGGCTAAAGTTGCTGCAACTCCCGCATACAGAACGTTATTATGTTCCCTTTTTACAATTAATTCAGTAAATTTGGAATCTTTAGGAAGAAGAACTCGATGCTTCTCGTCAACTTTATATTCGGTTTCTTCTAATCTTCCCTTAATTCGAAGAATTTTATTTTCATCAAGAAATGTTGCCAAGCTGAATATATTAGAGCTTTGAGAAATTGACTTGTTAGATTGAAGCCTTAATTTCAGATGTGAAGAAATCCATCTGGGCTTTACGAACACAAAAAATTTCAGTGTCCTGAATTTCAGTAGCACTTAACGTTCCACTATTAGCGGGCAGTTTTCTTGCCTTAGCAACGAAACATCTAATCCATGCCATAATTCTGAGATATTTCAGCACATTACTGAATTTTGTTATATCCAATTAGTTGATCATCTCTTTTCACAACAATGTCATAAACAGATATTTTACTACGGTGTTCTAGTTGTTTATCGTTTCCCACGTCAAACTTCGGTTGAACTGGCGAGTCTATACGTTTGTTTTGTAACCATTCTGGTCCAAACCACCAAAGTGAACAATTTCTTAAATTAGCAACAGTAGTTCCTCGTGATATGAGGTCGGAGGGGTTATCTTTCCCACATCAATAATGCCAATTATTGCTTTCAGTTAGTTTCTGAATTTTGTAAACTCTGTTTTTGATGAAAGATTTAAATCTTTCGGGAGATCCTTGAATCCAAAAATACGTTATTTGAGAATCAGTCCAATGGAAGGGAATTACTTCGTATTTTAAACATTTTATCACTCAATCTAGCGGATAAAAGTGCACCCAATGCTCCAATCTAGGAAGTGTAAGTTATTTCAGAGGTGCAACTCTACTCTTGGAAGCAACAAAAACTGTTTGAAAAGTTCCATTGTTCAAAACTATTCTTAGATATACCATGCATCCATAAGCTTTCAAACTAGCATCAGAAAAGCTATGGAGTTCTATTTGTTTCACATCTCCATCTAATATTCCCTCTAAATAGTAGCGGGGAATTCTGAGGTGGTTCCGTTCTTCAATTTCTTCGTACCAGGCTTTCCATTTATAACTAAGATCAGGTGGCAGTTCATCGTCCCAGTCAATTTTGACAGACCAGATTTTCTGAATCAGACACGTTATTCTTATAGTGAAAGGACCATAAAGTCCGACAGGATCAAAAATACGGCCTGCGGTTTGCAATAGAAAATGTTTTGAGTTGATTGACGAGGAAATGAAATTTGTCAAGTGCTGAGTGTCAAAATAAAAAATATCATTATCCTTATCCCAGTTAATTCCTAACACTTTGATCGGGACAACTTCAGGAGATTCTTGCATCGAAAATTCTTTGCGATTCCAAATATCTTTGAGTTCTTTGGAATTAGTATGCCACTTATGTAGTGACATGCTAGCTTCATTAAAAATGTTCACAATTTCTAAACTTGTTTTCAGGGCATGTTCTAAATTTTGTTGATCGCTAATAATGTCATCAACATACAGGCAGTTGTTTAAGAGTTCTACTGTTTCAGGATATATTTCTGAATATTTTTAAGGTGATGCTTAATAGTAGCAGCTAGGAGAAAGGGACTAGATTTTACTCCAAACAAAACTGTTGTAAATCTAAAGGTTTTCAAACTTTCATTGTTATCATCAGGATCATCTTTCCAAAAGAATCGTGTAACGTCCCTGTCTTCTTCATTTAACTCTATCTGTAAGAATGCTTGTGTAATGTCCGCTGTAAAGGCTATTGAATTTTGTCTAAATTTTATCAATACATCAAAAATATCAGGATATAGGTTCGGACCAGTATATAAACAGTCATTTAGAGAGAGTGTTTTTGGTTTATGGGCTGAAGCATCATAAACTATTCTTAGTCTGCTTGTTGCCCTATCATTT